GTTATCCGCGACCAAAAAGCCTCAAGAATTGTGACGTCGATCGGTAAATAAGCTGCTGCTGCCGTTTCAACATTTTCATTTTATACACGGAGCGCTATGCAGAGAGCAGAAATCCGAGAGAAGTTAGTGCACCTTCCTTTTACGAGCAAAGAGCTAGGTGTTCCGTTTTATTTTGTACACCTGCCGCTCGCTCGACCCCACTTGGGCTGTTAAAAAGCTGTAATGCGGCGCGAGCGGACGAAATTAATACGATATTAATGTATATAGAGTCGGCAGTCGAACTCACCAAACATCTCGGCGGAGGAAAACGCGGTGCCTGCTTGAGGGGAAGAACGTGGAGCATATTATCGCACGAACAGCAGCTCGGTGGGAAGAAGTCGCTGACAGACTGACTGCAGGCGAAACGCGGGCGAGAGAGAGAGACTACTATTTCCACGTTCGGTGTCTGTGACTGTCCAATAAAAAGCTGTTGGCTTGATACACAATCACACAATGGCGTGGTAGGAGAGGATACAGCGCCGCTCGCTCGCTCTGTGTAAGCAAATGCACCGCCGCCGCCAGCACCACTCACTCCGCGACCAACTAATATTCTCTCTCTCTCTCTCGGTCGGTCACTAACTAAAATGAATGCAATCCCGGCCGGCAGCACGCCGACTGACGAGCAGCGTTCAGAAACACAACACACGGTTGCCAAGCTTCAATAATTAGGAGGATTCTGATAGGGAATTAGGAAACTCGAGTAAAGCGAGAGACCCTCGGCACGCAGTCACGCCACGGCTAAATAAATTATTACCCAATGCATCTTGCGGGATATTTTTTTCCAATATGTTACACTTTTCTACGCCATAGATTCGAGGTTGGCCCTTTACTGAATAATTCAATATTTGAACTGCTCGTAAAAGTACACAAGTGAGTTGATACGCAGCACTCTTAAAAATACTAAAAGTTGACAATCAAACTCGCAGCTGCTGGATGACGTTTTAAGTGCTTGTTGAAATGGCAACAATATTGCGTTTGACAAACAGTAAACAATAATTTACTTTCAGTCTAAATAGCAAGCGAACAACCGATAAAATAAAATAAATTGAAAGCTCTTTAAACTCTGGTTTCAATTGGGTGTCTTTAAAAAAGACATAAAAATAAATATTACTTTAATCAAAATTTTATTTACCCTTTTCAATGCAAGTTGACTATATTTTATTATTCAAATCAAAAGTACAACCTGTGAAATATTTTAAATAATAATTTTTTCCCCCATTTTCAGATCACGCAAGGAAAAACAACTTTCAACATATCGCATGACGATCCAACTTCCGCGCAAGGAAACTCCACAACAAGCTGTTCGACTCGTCACCTTTTATTTTATATTTCTTTCTGTGTATATTCCCTTATCAGTCGGAAAGTTTCGAAATGGAAGAAAGCAAAACTGGAGCGGCATAATTGAATTGACGACAGCAGCGACGCGCGCGGTGGGGAATTTTATGCCGCAGTGTGTGAACTTCTCCTTGTTTGTATGTACATCCTTTAGCTAAGTGCCTTGGTTTTAATCAGGGAGGCTGCCGTCGAGCGTCTTTGTTGCCAGCCCGAGTATATACCAACGTAATAAGTTACATTTGTGTATTTCTGTACCTTGGGGCGCAGCCGCTTCCTCTCGCGGGCTGGAAACGCTGCTCGCTCTCTCCAGCCGAACGCCTGCCTGCCACCTCCAAAATAGGAATGTATCAGGCCCTCCAGTGAGCAGCCCGGCACGCATAAATGGCCGCTTATCTGGCTGGCATTCTTTTTTCGTGACCTTGATTATCTGCCTCTGAAATTATATTATATATTTTCTCTCCACTGCCGTTGTTTCTGCGTCGGTCGCACGCGCTCTTGCAGTTCCATAACGAGAGGCCTCGAGAGGATCCGATGAAAAATCGGCGCACAGCTCCAAGCCAATTAGCTTTTATTTATTGACTGATCGGCGAGCTATCTCGATTGAGGGAAAAGGAATTTGTAAAAATCTGGTAAATTTTATTTCTTCTTATAAAGGGCGGTCGTTAAGATTTATGCTGTGGTCTTCTTGGCTGAGGATAAAATTTTATTGCTGTTTTACAACTCGAGTCTTGCACGTCGGTGGTGCGAATGATTAATGTGTCTCATTTATTTATGCGGCGTTTATGCCTTCTTGTAACTAACTACATTGTTATTCCAACTTCCACTTCTCCCTTTCATTGGTTATAATTAAAAACGTCGCAAATGGCAAAGCACTTAGAAGTTAAGCAGAAAAATTTATAGCTCAATTATTTAACAAATATTCAGAACAATAAAATATAAAAGAAAAATAATATGAAATAGTAACATTTGCAGCGTTAAGAAGTTTTATTTTTTGAAAAAAAAATTATATTTTTGTTAAAAAAGAAAAAAAATTAAAAAGGAAACAAACCAAATCCACAAAAGTTTTGCTCGGAACATCCAAAACTGCGAAATAAAAACTGCAACACATTCACAAATGATTCTGTGGAGAAGTCGGAAAAAGGAGACACATCATTCACTGAGAGCAGCAGCTGGAGCAAAAAACACTCGCGGCGTGGCGAGCACATGCTTGGGCCTGCGCGGCAGCGACGCCGACAGAGGCTCCGCTCACCACGACGCCCGGCCTCTGAATAACGCGGTGAATCAAACAGTTGCACTACCAAGGCCCCTGCCCCTGCCAGCCAACCATTTCCCCAGTTTTACGTCACACAACCTGCTCCTCGCGCTCGCTCGCTGCCGCTGAATGGCAAGGCGCGAGAGAGAGAGAACGCCGGCGCGCGCGCCACTCAATACACACATTACACACCACAGACGGGCCGACCAGCCGGCTTACTTTTTTCTACTCGCCCGATAATCAGTGCGGCGGCAATTACAACCACCAGTTATTAAAACCGTAACGCGAAATTTTCTTCCAATAACGAGTGAAGAATTTTGTTCTCTGCATAAATTAACCAAAGACATAAAATTGTTCTAATTTGCAAAAAATTATTCAAATTGGTAGTTGCAGTTTGGAAATATATCCAAATTTACAAGGAAAAAGATCGAATTTTTTCATTAGACCCGTTTTACATTGATTTTTTTTAGCAAACAAGATAACAGTATAGGTTTAAACAATGCATTCTTAATATTTCTTGATTCATTTGTTTATTTTGCTATCTCAATAAATTTGTAACATCCTCAAGAAATTGAAAAACTGATTTAAATGAAGTTTATTTGAAAAACATTTTAGACAAATAAACAATAAAGATATAAACATCGTAAACGCATTATGAAATTATATGCAATGCACTGAAAATTCAATTGTAAAATGTTCTAAAAAGAAATGCTGACGTAAATTAAATCCAAGAATTACAACCAATTCAGCAGAATTCAAGCAGTTGATCGCCTTCACGGAGAGGGGTTAGGCAACCCCACCGCAGGAATGCTGCGCGGGTTGCATAAGTCGCCAAGCTAGGAGCTTCTTTTCTGAAGAGAAATATTTGAATTTTGACGCAAAGGCAAACGGCCAAATAATTATTGACTTTTGAGATAGTCTCCTTACATATACATAGATCTTACTCAAATAGACAAATTTTTGGAGAGAAAAGAGAAAGAGTCCTATCAAATTATGGAATCAAGAAAATTTTAAGTGGATTTTTTGAGGCCTAAAACCGGGAAATATGGAGAAGATATTTTTAATTTTATGTTCTAGAATAGAAATTAAAACTTAAATCAATTTTAATGAATGATGGAAGCAATTTGTCAAGTCAAGACGGGACGTTTACCGAAATATTTAAAAATCATTAATTCAGATATAGATCAACAGTTTAATATATTTAGCGATATTTAGTGGACTGTTTTTACATGACATCGTAAACTGAAGTGATAAAAATTTCTCCTGATTTGCATATGATTTTTTACCAACAAATTTCTGAGTGACAAAACGTCAAGTGAAAGCTCCCAGGCAAAACTGTGACTCTGCCCATTCGGGGTTTTTGTTAATCGGGCCGAGTTTTTCGATTTTGGCAGACGGATCGGCGGGAGTGGCGGGCGAGTAAACACAGGTAGTAGGTGAGAGATGTGTTTTATATGTGTGCCAGGGTACTTGGAGGCAGACAAAGCAGCAGGCAGGCAACAGCATCAGCCTGCTGGATCAATGATTGGCCTTATAGCGCGACACGAGGTCACATGTACATTGCTCCATCCAGCAGCAGCTCGCACGCAGCACATAATCGTGTTTATCATTGCGCTGTTGTCACCTTCAAATATGGCGACCGAGTTGGCTCGTTGGCCGGGCAGCGTGCTGAAAATTCGTTTTCAGCTCGAAATTCGAGCCGGGCGCGCCGAGCGGGCGACGCCATTCGCCGTGTGCCGCACCGCGAGCGACTCGCTCAAGATCGCAAACTTTTTTGGCGTTTAAGTCTCCATAATGTGAGGAGTGCGAGCGAAATTTAAATTCCGACAAAAGGTTTAATGGCGCTCACACAAAACTTTGTTGCCAGAGTTCTCCTCGTTTAATTTGCTGCCGAGCAAACTTTTCTTGCCGACTCGGAAAAGAAAATATAGCTTGTGAAGAGTGGGGAATGTTGTCGTGAGCGATTCTTTATCATCTAGACTTTGTCTCTGCGGCGTCGAGCAAAGTACTTTTCATTTTTAAATTTCAGACATTTAAATTATTTTTAAAAGTTCCACAATTTTGAAAAATCTCCTTTTAAAACAATGATTCTCATTAATTAAGAATTTACTATTTAAAACGATTTTTTCTTCTTCAAACAACTTTGAAATTTTCTAAATTTACTTGCAAATATAAGGTTTCTTAAAACAGCTTAAACGAAGTTCAAATTAAATAATAATTAATTATGATTCCGCGAATTTTATAGTGGAGATATTTGACCGACTACGGAACTTTCGTCTAAATGCGGCTGTCACTGATTTTTTGCGGTCTGCCCGGGGATGCCCCTGAGCGCACGTTTTTGGGCAAAAAGGCAGTTGAAAGCAAAGGCACTCACCTGCAGTTGAGCTGTGATGAGGGTCAGCCATGCCCCCCAAGGGGGCCGGTGGAGGCGGCGGATTTTGTGACTGTGCTCGGCGAGGCGCGCGAGCAACATTAGTAGACCGTCGACCTGCAACAAAGAAACAAATTTAATGTTATCTTTAGACACCAAACCTCACAACACCCTTTAGGATCTCTCAGCTCAAGCAGCAACAATTAACATTCACGTAACAAACCATATCATGGCTTGTTATTAAGGACTCCTTATTGACATAGTCAAATCAAGTCTTTACAACAATGGTTTGTAAAATTTTCAATAACTGCCCCAAATGGCTTCTATTGTTGTAAAGACTTGATTTGACTATGTCAATAAGGAGTTCTTAATTTCTCTTCTTTGAATGGCTCAAGCTGTTATTTTTCCATCGGCCAAAGAATCCCCTTTTATATTGATACATGTAAAAATTAATATCGAACATAAATCAATTTATCTGACCAAATTTTACTGCCAAATGAATCTGGCTGCAACGTTTAGGTGCAGGTTGAAAGTAAACGTGCATAATAACGTGCAGCCTCTGCAGTAGCGCAGACTTTCGAATTAATCTCAATTTGTCAGCAGCAGCAAAATTGAATAAAAAGAAAAGTGCTATTAGTCGGATAAAACACAATTTAACAACCGTCGCTCCTTTCATTTCATTTCTTGCTGCGGTTATTTTACGCCGCGGTCTTTTGCACCCAAGCGTGCTAACTTTTTGCTTCTGCAGGTATTAATGCCCTGGTGCCTGTTTGCAGGTTCGCAAAAAAAAAGAAAAAGAGGAGCAACTTCAAAGAGGATTAACTTGGCGGCTTTCAGCAAATTATAATGCGAGGTGTGGAGCAATAGCAATTTTATTGCGCTGATGAGTTACTGTTCCAATCAAAACGTTGTTAGTTTTATTGGTTTTAGCACTTGATTCGCTATCGATTATGAGACCGTTAAATTATTTTATCCGTTTTGCTGATTGAAAGAAAATAAAGATATTGTTGTAAATAAATAAATAAGTATAAATAAAAAAACCATTGCGTTTCATTATTATTATTATTTTTATTTTCAAATTAATACAACTATCCCAAAAGGGAAAAATAATAATATTTAATAATAATAAGATCCAGAATGTGAAGGAGTTATTTAAGAATGTCATTTAGGGTAGAATCAATCTATCTATTTTTTTTTTAAATGCTTCGCACAACTCTAAATTAAATATTTTAATTGAAAGAGGGAATTAAAATTTCTATGACTCCTTATGACAATGCACAAGCAATCAGGCGAAAAGGAAAAACTTCAAGTTTATTTTTCTTGAAATGAGACTTTTAGACACAAAATATGAGCTCATTATTAGGCAGAGGCGGAAGGGCTAATATTTTTAGGTATTTCCTGAAATTTTATTAAAAGAGAAAAAATATAGCGAATGTGAAAGCAGAGCGACGTGCAAATAAATCGTCAAGTTAATGAGCATCTAGCAATAACCACTAATTAAATATATAATTTCCATTCAATTTTGATGGAAGTAATGAAACTGATACTAAAATTCGCTCTACAAACTAGATCAGAAAATTGGTCTCTAAAGGTTTCTTAATATTTTGTTAATTTATAAAAATTAAAGTGTTCAGGGGTCAAATTGCATTCTAAGTTCAAATTAGTAATTAAGTTTCATGATATGTAGACAGATTTATATATTATTAATTTTAAATTTTCTAAATTGTTTTCACAATTGATTGAATTTTCATAATCATGACTCACAGGAAATGACATCTACAAAATAATGAGATAATAATAAAAAAAATCACAATTAATTAATTGCCCCTTTTTAGCCCTTTGCCCGAATGTGATTTTCTGTCTTTTAAAAAGATATTTGTGGAAAACTAATAGAACTTTAATATTGTCGCGTTAAAATAAAAACAGGAGGCAAAGTTGAAAGATTGTCGCGGATAATCGGAGAGTTCAAAGCGAGACGTCGACCCAGTGCTGGAGGTATCACGAGCCAAACTTATCTGTACCGTTCAGATTCGCGAGAAAAGTGATTCATTTGGTTGGAGACAAACGCGACTTTGGTTTCATCAGGTGAACGAGGCAGGCTAGCTCGAATTGTTGCGAGCCATTAGGTTGGCAGTCAGGAAGCGCTGATTAGCGGCGGCAGGCTCAAATAGTTGAAAAGATCACCTTGCAAGTGCCCCCATTTGCTATCAATACGAGCGAGCAAGCGACCGACTTGACTAACTGCACTACAGCTACATCCAGAGCGAAACAACTGCGAACGGGTTGCATAATTTCCCACTATTGCCCAGCATGGAAAAGAAAATCTTGGGAAATTGGCGCGACCTGCGCGAGCGGTGCTGGTTTTTCTTCTCTCTGGACGTCAGTCTTGAGAGTCGGTTGTATATTTTCAAGTAAATGGCGTGCACCGAAATCAACATGGTTCACTGGTCACGTTTCCTCCGCCCGACAAATCAATTAAATAATACGTACAACGCGATGAACCGGCCTGCCAGCCGCTTGCCACGATAAAAGAAAGAAAATTCTCCACGTCGACATTTTGACTTTTGCTCGCTCGCTCTCACCGGGGTGAAAAATGACTGCCAAAGTGACCTTGAACTGATTATTTTTTATTTTATTTCCATGAATAAACAGGACAGAATTATTTCATCCTCATCTCATCTAGGTGTTATGAATTGAGAAATGCAAAGAAATTAATTAATGAAGAATTCATTTGCAAAGTTTAATTTTATTTGATATTTAATTAATTTTCTTACTTTTTCAATTAATTTTTATGTTGATTTAATTTCAAAAAATTAGAATTAGAAGTTTTAATGCAATTTAAATCTTTACTTGTTGGGTAATTTTAGTTATTTTATTTCATTGAGGTTCTATATTTTTGTCAAATTTTAAAAGCTTAATTACTGCGTTCTGGTATTTACATATTAGAGGTTATCTATTTTTAATTATTTTATAAGCACATTAATTTACATTAAATCTTTAGGATAATTATTGTCACTGGTGATTAATCATAAACAGAAAGCAGCAAGTCACAAGGCGTCAAAAGAACGTCAAACTTTGATCGCGAATCAACCAAAATGGAGAAAACCCCGGAGCTTTGCGATTCAGCTGTCACCATTATTCAATCGCAATGGCTGCACTAAATTCTGCTTTTGCAATTTTTCTCGTGCCTGCCCAGAGGCCACGCAAACCGACAAACCCCGCAAAAGCCAGCAATTTCCCGAATCAATTTAGCAGAGACGAGAGAAAAAGCAATTATGCTACCTCTCAAAATTTAACAGTAAACTTCTTTTCAAAGAAATTCAGCGAAGAAACGGCCGATTCGGCCGGGCGAGAAAGCACTCAGGTCACGGGGGAAGGAGTCAGGGGCTCGGGTTCGGCCCCCGAGACCGTCAGGGTGGCCGAACGGGGTGTCGCGGCCGACAAGTGCGGGGATTTGCTCACCTATTTCTGGGTCGGGTCTTGACCTTTAGGGCAGTAGAATCATTTGCCGACTCACTGCGGGTTGCCGATGCACAGGTCTGAGGTTTCGGCGACGCTTCACACGGTCGGCGAAACGCACACAAATGTAAAATAAAGCAGCGAATCAAGAAGATGGCGTCCCCTGAATTTAACCGAGTGTGTGCCGTGCATGTATGTGTGTTGTGTGTGAATGTGTTTTTTATTTTCACCGTGCTCACTCAAATATCCGTTATTAGCACAAAATAGCAGCACTGCCGGACACACGAGGCGTCCCTTGGGGCCGCGATCGGCGCGATACGGGCCTCAGATGCGCGCAACCGAGCCGATTCGGGGCCCAAAGTGGCTGAGCATGTATCAATTTTACACTCAAATTCGGTCCAACTCGAGAAAAACAGACACGAGAACGAAGAAAGGAGCAACGAGGAGGAAGTAGGGGGGGATGTTTTGCAGTGCGACTACGTCATCGCTATTCATTTATTTCGCCTGCACTCACGCGGTAATCAAGGAGGGTGTGATACGCGCGCCCAGATAACTTGTGCACAAAGGAAGAGTTGTACATAGTTTTAAATTTCGAATAATATTTTAGGGCAAAATTTTTAAATTTTAGAAAAAAAATGGCAAATATAAATTTATGTAAACGTAATTTGTTTGATTTAAAGGATGATTTAAGTGTTGAGCAAATCAATTATTCCTTTCGATCGCTTTTAATGGTTGGTTTTTTAATTTTATTAAATAAAAATCGTAACAATAAATTGCTATACAACAAGAAATTCTTTTTTTTTCTTTTAATAATCTTTATAACAAAGTTTTCATCCTTAAAATACAGCCATGCGGTGTTGTTAGTAGTTTAAAAAAAAATTATACTTTATTTTCATTCTCGTAAATAAATAAGTTTTAAATAATCTAATATAAAAAAAATAAACTAGATTCCACAACGGGCTCTAGGAAAAACTGCTTTGAACTTTTTTCAGAATATTTTATTATTCTTCAATCAGACATCTAAAGAATTGCGTACTTTATTATCACAATGTGTAATTATAAGCAGATGGAAATATATCAGATCAATAAAAAAATATTGAAATCATTTGAAATTTTAGCACAACCAAAATCAATTGAAGAAAAGTGGAAATGTAGAAAACAAAACAAAATCACCATGAGAGAGAGTTGATCAAAAAACAGTTCCCATATAATCAGTTGTCAAACACATTCATCGGCAAGCTCTTGTGGTTTATAATGTATGGAATGTTGTCAAATTCTACTATTAAGGTATTTTATGGGATGCAAAGAGAGGGAATACAAAGGTATAAGTACATTATTTCAAGATACAGTTAATTGATTAATTGTTAACAAGAGTAACAAATCAGACTAGGACCAAAACTAGGAATTCAACAAAATTATCTAATTTCATTATTTTGTGCTGCCTCGTGCTTTTCTTCACTGTGTCCTAAAGGCGCTTCTTTAGATTTTACAGGTTCTTTTTGAGCTTTAGACTTCTCAGTGCCGTTCTTGTTCTTTCGAGCCTTTTGCCTCATCTGGTCTAGCGTGACCCACGACTCGTCTTTTGACTCTTGATTCTCCACTGCCTCTGGACTGACAATGAAGTCGGGCTCTATATCTAAACCATCCTCAGGCAGCTCCTCTATTTTTTCTGACTGGCCATTGTTGGGCTGACTTGTTATGTTGCTCCACCAACTAGAGAAAGCTCCTTTTGCTTGTGATATTGCCCCGCCTGTAATTAAATTGATTGTTATTATAGGGCTGCAAAGTATCAAAACCTTCTGCTACCGGCAACAATTTAGTAAAGCTCCTAACGCAATTATACAATTTTTTTTCTTTCTGTAAAGAAAGCAACTCACCGACTGCTTTTCCAGTATGAGTGACTGCTCTTCCTGTGTTGACCATTGCCTGGCTAAGTTTTCTGCCGCCTTCGGTGTTTTGCATGGTGCTAAAAGTAAAAAGTTTTTAGGACTGCACCCTGAATAAAAATTATTTAAAATTACTGAGAAAGTCGAAGTTTCATGTCCGCCATTGATAGCTGTCCTGCAAAAGGGTGTCCAGGAGGAACATCCATGATTGCCCCGTAATCCTTGCTGATCCAGTATTTATAATTATAGGAGTCTTTCCAAGCCGAAATAAAAATTGCATTGAAGAAATCCAATTCTCTGCTGCCCTCTATATAAAAAAAAAAAATATCCAGTCAATTGAGAGTTTATGAAATTAATTAAATTGGTTACCATTTAACATTGAAGTTCGCAACAGACTGAGCAGGTAGACTTTGAACTGCGCCCTTATCCATTCATCTCCTCCTTCCCAAGCAGCACCATCTAAAATATCCTCTGTCACATGTTTGACTACATAATCAGCAAATCTGAGGTCTTCTGTTGTCAAATGGAGCTGTCGACGAAGGTCGGGGTCTGAAGTTTCAATTCGAGTATCTTCGACCTAGCTCAACACAAAATTTAGTAAGCCAAAACTATCTTTTCAGCCTCTCGTACCTCTACTAAAACATCAGCAAGTTGATTCTTCTGTTTAAATAAAACATTTGTTGCTCCAATAATATACCCTCGGACGTTTACGTCAGTCAACATGTCCATGTAGGGCAACGACAAGTAGGGATGGCATAAATATCCCTAAAATTACAACGGAAATAAAAATATAGCTTAAACAGAGGCACTGCCAACAGACTTTGGTAAAAATTGACAATGGTAAGCCACATGACTGTGAATCAATTTGAGCCACCGAGTTTGAAAATTTACTCCTTGCACATTCAAATTCATCGGATGTAGCAGATGAAATGTCTTGGAGACTAGGATTGGGCTCTTCTGCAAAAGAGCTTCCTGGCCTTCCTCCTAAACTGTTCATACTTGAAGAGTGAGGTATCCTTGATTTGCCTACTGCTGATAATTTTGCATAGCTTTTTTCAGGGCTAAGAAAAAAAATATACTCAGTCAATTTTCAAAATGTTTAGTGAATTCCAAGCAATTTTACCTTTCAGGAGGTGTTGCTGGAGAGTCATTTGGATAATTCGGCAAGGGTGACATCGGTCGTGAGGTTCTTAAGTAAAAATTATTAAACAAAATTAATTATACAACATAAATAATTTTTTTTACTTGACGTAAGCAGCTTCTTTCAGGCCCTTTTCTATCATTCCTGGATGGAGAGACAAGACGGACAGGATTGTGGCACACAGTTGCTGCACTGGAGACTTGAAAAATATGACCCGTTTTTCCAGCAGGAGCAGTTTGAACAAGAGAACGGCTTTGTGCTTGAATTGTAAAATAAATTCTCTCAAAGAAAGACCTAAAAATTTTGAACTGATTAATGTTATTCCCGAGTGGTTGTTAGCTATCAACCTTCAAATGCTTGGGAGGAATCTAGGAGGTCCAACGAAAGACAGCCGTTGAGATTTTTGTACGTATCTTCAAGCAGAGAGACTTTACTGAAGTCACCTTCGTCAAAATATGCGTGGGTTATGAGAGCCATTTTAACCTATCATTTTTTAATTATAAGAAATTTCGTCAAATTTATTCATTGCAGTCTTACTTGGATGTGTCCAAAGAGTGGCAGCTTGCTCAAGACACACACAGACTTTTGGACAGTTCCTCTTGTTATGTCCGGAGTACGATTTTTTAATTTCTGGAAAAATTGAGAAAAGTTACAATTAAAATTAATAAATCAGATATTGATATACCTCGACGGGAATTTGTCTGAAACAAGACACTCCAAATATAGTTTCTCTGGAATTTGTCAGACTAGGCAAGTGAAAATAAACAGTATCGTCCTCGTAATTGTGTGATCCATCAGGTAGGGCAAGAGTTGGTAGATAATGCCATCCAGGGGGACACTCATTGCTGTCGAAAGCACCACCAGGGACCAGGGGTGGATATGAATACTCAACCTGAAAATTTTTAAGTTTTTTTTTTATAAATGCATTACATATTAATTACAGAATTGTGTCTTGCATAAAAAATTCACTTTATCACAATTTCAACTTAAAAAAAACCACATCACACCAAAACAGTGCCAGAAGATAGAAAAATGAAAATAAAAAAATACATAACGTCGTACCTGACACCCTTTTTTGTGGTGGAAGCCGATGACAATTACGTGGAGGATCGGACCTGCTTCCGCGGTGGCAGACTCTTGAGGGTTTTCTTCGTCCATGGTTGAGAGCCTCTTGTTCACAACTCGTGGTCGTTGGATTGAAATTTCCCGAAGACGAACCCTTAGAACAAGAATGAATTGTTTACCTCTTTTCTTGTTCTTCTGTCATTTCTTCCAGCATATTTCTCCCTATTTCTCCCCCACCACTCAAATTGCTCAAAAGCCAAAGAGGTTTCCTTTTCCGCAATCGGCGCGCGCACGTTCCACCGACCTACGTTCCAACTTCCAACGTGTGTAATGTTGCCAGTACTGAACGCTCGAATAAGAATTGCACGGCGAACGAGCCGAACGAGTCGGGAGGACGACGGAGAAGTGCTACGGGCTACTCAGCTGCCATCTTGGTCATGTTTACGAATTAGACTAGAATTTAAACATCGACTTTTCACCACTGCAAATGTAAATTATGCAACATTTCTAATTTGAGAACCCAGCCTGGACGTCCAAGTGTCTCGAGCGAGCGTCTGATTCGGCTTAGCTCTACTCAAAGGTTCGAAATTCTGGACTCCAAAATCGACTTCTTTTCCGTCCTTTGCGTTAATGTCAATATCACGCGCTAATTTTGAGCTTATGTATTTACTCGTGAGCACTACATGTACATAGCTGGCGTGCGGAACGAACAAACACTCACATTGGCACACCAATTTACTCTTGTGTTTCTCTGCAAAGTTTTTGCGTGGAATTTCTCCCATTTACGCATTGATAATTTCCTTAATCTTATATTATTAAACTCGTTGAATTCGTGACCAATTATCATTTCTTCAAACAATAGATTTCCCAATATGATATTAGTCAAGGCAATAAACAAATAATAAAGTAACTTTGGTTTTACATAACTATATAATACGTATGTAAAAGTTTTCCTTTAAAAATACATACGTAACTCTGTTATGATTGAAAACTATTTATGTCTAGATTTAAAAATTATTTATTATAAAATTATTTTATGTTTATATGTATATCAAAAATATTTATTTATGTTGATTTATGTCTTTTTCCAGTTAAAAAACTCATGGCTTGCTAGTCTACACTAAAAGCTGATCGGATCATTTGGAAACAACAATTATGGTAATAAATTTCTCTAATAAAAAAATGCTAATGTTTAAATTCTACTTTAAACAAATTTCAGGCTGAAAAACGCGCACATCACAATGCTTTGGAGAGAAAGAGACGAGACCACATCAAAGACAGTTTCACTAGCCTACGAGACTCGGTACCTGCCTTACAAGGGGAAAAAGTGGCCAGCCGTGCCCAGATCCTCAAGAAAGCCGCTGAATACATCCAGTTTATGAGGCGCAAAAATTCTGCCCATCAACAAGATATTGATGATCTCAAGCGCCAGAATGCAATGCTTGAGTCCCAAAGTAGTAAATCAATCATTTTTTAGAGTAAACTTTTTTAATTCCCTGCTGGTCATTTAGTTCGAACCCTCGAAAAGGCGAAAGCATCTGGCACCTTCCCGGTGGAAGCCAATGATTCTCTGGTTTGCTCCAAATCTGACTCGGCTTCCAGCTTCAACCACGAATCTGAGAGTGACTCGTCGAGTGACAGCAGCTCGGCCGTGGCGCGCAGAAGCAAGAAGCTGAAAGTGAGCAGCAGCCACTGACAATTGCAACAAATCAGAAAAAGATACCTCCAATGATTTACCCCTCTTATTTCGTTTACTATCACTTGTACTGCTACAGGTTTTGCACCGTCTTATAGTATCAGAATGCACATTCCGACGTGAAAAAGTGACATGCCAAGTTTTACCAACATGCAAGATGGAGAGAACGTACAACCAAAAATATATTCTTTGTCTTATCCTATAAGTTTTGCACAGCCCTCCTTCATTGGAACTTTGAATCTAATGTTTAAGAAATTTCCTTTTGAATGTCTTTAGTTTGTAAGGTGCTGTTCTATCTAACAATGATGCAGTAATAATACAGATAAGATGCATTCAGAGGAGAGATATTCTTAAAAAGATTATTGTGGTAGCGTTCATTTGTAAGATAGACTGTCAGTTGTAAATATATCACAGTACCTAAAATTCACAACTTTCAATCACAACCACATTATATACAATTTGGAAAGTATACCAGTGTCTGATTTGGGAAACAAAACTTGGACGTGTTCAGAAATATTCTATTTCCTTAAAACAAAGAAAAATGATATAACAAATCAGCAAGAAGTAACATGTATGAAAAGAGAGTACAAATAATTATGTCCTAAAGGTTCTATATTACGGACGAAAGTTTGGGACTGCTAGTGAATGGAAGTAATTGGCCGCCTTCTCCGCGGACTTGCAAGTTATGTTATATAAAGGATGGCATGGAACCTGAAATTGTGGCTTCATTAAAACCGAATCAACAAGGAAAAACTGTGTAATATTACAAGTTTATTTTCTGGGGGTCCCACTACTATTGGATTGTTAGGGTCAAAGCCAAATTGAGCAACAGATATTCCACTCAGCCCATAGCATGTGTGATACAAATCTTGAGATCTGAAAATAAATTAAATTGCATGTAATTTCCTGTCAAGGTTAGTTTTTAAAATGGGAGCATACTTTCCCGGCTTGTCAATAATGCCGCCTTTTGGGTGCTGACAACATATCAATAGGTACTCTTGTAAGGCCTCTTGGTGAAAGAGTAAACTCGTTGGTTTAATGTCCTCTGCTGTAAAAAAAATCGCATGCAAAAATTTAAAGCAAAATTTTTATTTATCAGAAATTTAAATCAACTATCATTTACTTTATTTATTTGTACCTTTTGACAGTAGAATCTGGTTTATTAGTGGAAAAGCTCCACCTTGCCAAAAGGAATAGCAACCGTCCACTAATTTATTTGTCCTACCCTGGAAGCCACCTTCGAGTTTCATTTGGCGCATCACAACCCATCGCTGAGGATATTTCTTTCAAGAAAGTAAATTTTTTTATTATTTGCTTACAATAAATGTTGGCAGGTTGATGAGATCTTCTTTCCCCATCAAATAAAGTGCTGCTAATCCGCAAAAAGCATAACCACCATGCGCTTCCATCCCAGGCACCCCTGCAAAGCCACCCTCGTACGTCTGGCAACTAATTAAGTCATTAAGACCCGTTAAACAAAAACTTGAAAGTAAGTTTGATTTTTCATTACCGAACAATCCATTCTGCAGACCCAGCAAACAGTTGCTCCGTGTAAATGTTGGTCAATCTCGCAACAGAAAGGGCACAGTAGACACCTCTGATATCTGCCTCACTGCCGTGGTGCATGGAAAACGAACTGTCTGCATTTTTCAACGAATAAAGAAACTCTTGGAGTCTCTCCCTGTTTAATCGAAATGTTAAAATATTAAAAATTATAATTTTTACTTTTATTGCCTGTTAATAACACTCATTGCCTCTTCCGTTCCGATGGTGCAAAGAGCATTCACAGCAGCGTATGTTGGAGCAAGATGAGCACTTTGTCCTGGCCCACCAGCAAAACCTCCACTTGGTGACTGACATCTTAAATAATTCAATAGAATTTTTAATTCTCTTTAAATGAAAAAATAAGGAAAAAAAAATTATAACAAACTTGGCTAGTCGAGCTACCAAAGCAGAGGCTATTTGAGGGCTGGGAGGAGATTCAAGTAAATGCAATGAATGCAAGATCCAATAACATAGCCAAGGCTGACTGGAATCTAGAACCTGGAAATTTTTATCAATATTTTGATAATTTCTTGTATATATAAAAGTAACCATACTTCATAGCCTTTTGGAAGGTATCTTAGAGAATTATTTAAAAATTCTAGGTGCTGCTCCCTATTCAAAAAAGGCAAGTCGGGCTCTATTTCTGATGCTAATCCAGTTTTATACAAAAGTTCTTCGCAGTTTTCTTCTACGTTGATCTGTTTAAAAGAAAAGAAATTCATCAGCACTGTAAACAAAATATAAAGTCCAAAAAGATATTGTTTAAAACATGATTTAAATGCCATAGAAACTTATTTAATATTAAGTGAGATTAAATAAAAAAAGCCAGAAACCAATTAAATATTATCTTACACAAGGCATACCTGCTCTACTGATGTGACCGTCGAATTGTTTTCTTCGTCAAATCTAAATTTTCTGATGTTCTTTAAGTTTCTTGGTTGCGCCATGGTGTTTTAAAAGTTGGCTATTTTTTGTTAGTAATAAATTTAATTTACTAAATAGAAAATCTAGTCGTAGGCTTGCACCGAGACCGACGATCAAAGAATTAAAAATTCGGCCAAATTGCAAAAATATAGCAGAATCTTGCTCTCGCCGTTTGCCTGTATTTATTCGCCTTTTTTTGCTTCGAGTTTCACGTTTTGCCCAACGTTTTGCCGCAGAAAGGGGGAGTGACTGCACAATGACAGATAGAGTTTACGACCGCAGTTAGACCAATAAGTGAAAAATATTTTTTCCACAAAGTACTTATTGCAGAAAAAATTTAAAAAATTTTACTTTACTATTTTAAATAAGATTATTTAGATTCTTGTTATCTGAAAACTCTAAAATCTTACACTAAACGAAGCTATTATATAATTTGGAAGCAACTCCTTCCTGTACACCACTTCCAAGGTACCGCTGAAATTTGCCAGCTGCTGAGTTTGTTCATTTCAGCAGAGTTGGGATCAATTTGTGTGCCTTGGAAACGAAAACCGACCAAAGAGAAAGAGACCCGTCATCTCAAGTTGTTATTATGAAAATTCCAACGCGTTAATAAGATTTTATCGGTAATCTTATATTTTGAATTCATGCGGAGAACACAAAATCGAAAAAACTTTACAAGAAGACGCCGTGGTCCAATGTGACGCAGTTTTGCAGCGATAATAAAAATCGCGATCAAAACAAAGTAAGTTAAACCAATATGTACAATCTGCAAACTCGCTTCCGATTGAAAATTTTCCATAATTTAATTTCCGTACCAAGGTTAATATAATCATTCACCCCTAATTATTAATGGTTCTTAAACAAATGTACATTTTTTTAAACGTTCAAACCATATGTGATGTGGCAACATTTAGGTTTCTTTTGAAATTCCAAGTAAGAATTTTGAGCTAAAATACTATTTTCTTTGCAGAATGAAGCACAAGTGGCTGCTGCTGGTGCTAGCCGCTGTGTGGATAGGCCAGGGCTTTGCCCAGAACGATCGTCTGCAAAGAGCCGGCCGCAACAAGGACGGCATTCTAAAAATAAAGAAGGAAGGCTTCTTTGATGGTGGAGAGGAGGATAACGACGACCCGGTCACTCTTGACGCTGAAGTCATTCAAATTGTGCAGGCACCTGATCTTTCAGGTGGTCCTCCAGAGGATGAAGACCATGGCGATCTGGACGCTGATGAAGATACCCTAGAAGAATCCACCCCAGAAACGACTGAACCGCCTAGAGAACTAACTCCTGAAGAAATAAAAGGTTAACATTATAAATTTTTTTTTTAATTCATAAAAAATTTCAATCTGCTATTTTACAATATTTATGTAAAAAAATTATTTATGGAATTTTATTTCATTAACATCTAGCAATTTTATGGTCTGTATATTTTAATCCTTCTAATTTATTTATGTGGTTTTTAGCTAATGAATTGTTCACCAATGCATGGGCTATGCTAAACGCAACAAGGCCAAACAAGAAAGCAGCCTTTGGTCTGATGCAGGCTGCTGCTGACATGGGACACGTCAAAGCCCAAGCAAAGCTGGGCTGGGCCTACTTGCTTGGGTCCCCATTTGAGCAAAATATCACAAAGGCTGTGGAAATTTTCCAAGAGCTTGCAAACAGAGGTGACCCGGACAGCCAACTGGTTAGTTTCCATCTTTTTTTTAAAAAAAGACTTATTATAAAGTTGAACATGCTTAGTTTCAATACTCTGAATTTCAATATTTCATGAAATGTGGACCTAGATAAATTTGACAAATTCATTTTGCAATTGCACAATGTAAGGCAAGTAAACGCCCACGGCTCCTGTATAAATTTTTCCCCACAAATAAAAAAGTAATTGAGTTTAATGAGTAACTTGCCTCAAAATTCTATAATTTATTGACAGCAATTTTATAAATGACAACAAGATAAAAAAATATTATTCTTTGAATTTCTAGGGTCTTGGATTTATGTTTGCAACCGGTTTGGGAGTTGAGGCGAGTCAATCAAAAGCACTAGTCTACTATACTTTTGCCGCCCTGGGCAAAAATACATTTGCGCAAATGGCTTTGGGCTATAGGTACTGGGTCGGTGTTTCCGTCACCACAAGTTGTGAAAAAGCTTTGGACTTTTACAGACAAGTCGCTAACTCAGGTAATTTAACACTTATTTATATCAAATAAAGAGTCTTAATTTTACATGATTGCAGTTGCGGAGGAAGTATCCTTGTCTGGAGGAGCTGCCGTCCAACGAGTCAGACTTTTGGATGAGATGGAAACACCAGGCTACAACTCGGGAATCCTTGACAACGACCTGATGGAGTACTACCAATTGTTAGCAGAGAAAGGGGACGTCCAAGCGCAAGTTGGACTTGGCCAGCTGCACTATCAAGGAGGCCGAGGTGTCCAACAAGACCCTCAAAGGGCGCTTCACTACTTTTTGCAAGCTGCCGATGCTGGAAATCCAGTTGCAATGGCCTTTCTTGGAAAAGTACATTTTGAAGTAAAATCCTTGATGTGTTTTTAATTTGTGAAAATTTCAGATCTACCTGGAAGGCTCTGATTTGGTAAAGCAAGACAATGACACTGCCTACAAGTACTTCAAGAAGGCAGCCGACTTGGGAAATCCAGTAGGCCAATCTGGTCTTGGACTGATGTATTTGCATGGAAAAGGCGTCACGAAGGATTACACCATGGCCCAGAAATATTTCACCATGGCTGCTGATCAAGGCTGGGTGGATGGCCAATTGCAATTGGGCAACATGTATTTCAGTAAGTTGATTACTCAAGATTATAAACAAATATTATTATTTAAACTCTAGGTGGATTGGGTGTGAGGAAAGATTACAAACTTGCCAACAAGTATTTCAGTCTGGCTTCCCAATCCGGACATGTCCTTGCATTTTACAATCTAGCTCAAATGCATGCTGCTGGAACTGGAATGATGCGCTCTTGTCCAACAGCAGTTGAGGTAAAAACATAGTACACAATTTAACTTTATATATTTATTGTTTCATTTCCAGCTGTTCAAAAATGTGGCCGAGAGGGGCAAATGGGGTGAAAAACTTATGGAAGCTCATAATCACTATCGCGAAGGTCGAGTCGACGAAGCTTTTGTCACATACGCTTTCTTGGCCGAACTTGGTTATGAAGTTGCCCAGAGCAACGCTGCTTTCATTCTTGATAAGGGTGAATATTGGCTAGTAAAATTGTAATTGCCTTATGAGCAAATTTTGCTATTGCAGATGAGGTTGAACTGTTTTCCACAAACGAATCCTTGGTGCGAGCTCTGCGTTATTGGGGCCGAGCTGCAGCCCAAGGTTCCGGCACTGCTCAGGTCAAACTGGGCGACTACCACTTCTACGGATTAGGCACTCCTGTTGACTACGAAGCAGCCGCTGCCCATTATCGGTTGGCATCTGAGCAGCAGAACAATGCTCAGGCCATGTTCAACTTAGGGTACATGCACGAACAGGGTCTAGGAATGGTTCAGGTTTAAAATTTAAACAATTGTCTTAAATATTAATTTACTAATTAACTGACTTTGATCTTCCAGGACATGCACTTGGCCAAACGATGCTATGACCTAGCTGCAGAGACGAGCCCAGATGCAAAAGTTCCTGTAACTCTTGCCCTCATGAAGTTGTCGCTTGTCTTTGGACTCAAATACTTCCAAGAGGTAGGAAGAATGGCAGGTTTCATTATTTCTTAAAAAAATATTGTTTTTAAAGCACACCAGGTTCATCACATTTATGGTAAATTATCAATATAATAATAATATAATATTTTCCTTTTTATCCTATATTTAATATCATGCTGTGGTGAATGTTGTGTTGTAGAAACAAAATAATTTTTTTTTTAAATTTAGATTTTGATTTTCCTCTCATTTTTAAAATTTAATCTAAATACCCCAATAAATTTCCAACTAATAGAAACTTGTGGTGCCTGTCATAGGGTGGTTGGCAAGATTGGGTTCTCTTGCTGCAAATTGACCGAGCGCTGGGTCCGAACTGGGACCTTTATTTGATATCATGCCTCGTAGCCACACTGGCTCTTCTGGTGTACCTGCGAAGACCTCCACAGCCGTAGAGAAACTGACTGCAAAGTAAATATTGAACAGGATTTTTTATGAACGAGTTTCTAGCTGTGTCGCGGATAGAACTGCCACGCGGCACTGAGCTGATTGATCACTAATTAATTGGATTTCCATAAAGCGCGGGTTATAAGTGGACCGTTTACAAGCGATGATTTTAGTGTTACGATAACAGTTACATAATGTGTGAAGCAACGTCCCCGTTAAGTTTTACCAAAGGAATTGACCTCCTGTTGTGATGCGGTTTGTTATAAATTTTGATTGTTCTTCCACTTTCTATAGTTTTGCTTTTTTTCTTTCAATGGCTGCCTCATGCCATAAAAAGTAATTATTAATAATTGATGATTGTTGTTGTGTAAATTATGTGGATGCGCACTGTGTAAAAATGAACATTAAAAGCGATTGACTTATATTGTAAATTTTTGTATATTTACATAATCACTTTACAAAATTATCTAATTACAAAAATAACGCCTAACTGCTTACGAATAGTCAAAAAATCAATCAGGTCTGGTCGCAATCATCACTTAATAGTCCTCATCCGGTTTCCTGCGATTTTCTTGACGAGCCGATTGGATAATCCTCTTTCTCACTCCCAGCAGGTACCTCATGTATGCCCTTGGTGAATACTGGGGCCTCTGGTGGTGAGGAAGTGGAGGAAGCTGCTGATGCGGTTGGGGATGTTGCCATCGGGCCCTTGCCCTTCGAGGTGGTCGTTGCGGTTCCTCTTCGCACAACTCCTGCCAACGAGGTGGATTTCGAAGACTGGCCTCCAGTCTGGCACAGGAGGCTTCAAGTTGCCTCTCGAGAGGCGAGGGTTCATACCAAGAAAACCTGGCCGGAGGCGGCGGATATGGATAAGGACTGTAGTGGTGCCGAGGTGCTCCGTACAAGTAGGGAGGATCTTCTGGCGGTCTTGGGAAGGCCATCGGAGGCACTGGCGGAGGAATTTTCTGCTCGATCTGCCGAGATAGATCACTCAAGCTGTGCAGAAGGTCAGTAGCCTGAACCAAAAATTGCCTCATGGGCTCTTGTTCTATTCCAACCTGGGACATGTCTCCGACGCTGCGACACCTTGGCGAACCGCAACGTGGAGGACTGCGGCTCAGGGCATCTCTGCGGTGGCGTTCAGGGCTAGGGCTGCTGTCCTCGTGGGAGCACCAGGCCCCAGGAATGGACGAACTGCGCTCCCGGAGAGGTCGATTTAACTCCCAGCGGTGTTGGCGGTCCCTGAATCCAGGACTTGGCGACCTGGATTGGGGCACTGGCGGCAGGGTTGTCTTCTTGATGATAGGTTTTGGCGAGTTGGAAACTGGAGACGGAAGGCTGTGGGTGCTTGGGGAGCTGATGAGCCCGCAGCCACTGATGTCTGACCACGAAACGGCCTTCTTTCCCGACCCCCTGCGTCGTGGAGGTGGCGGAGGACTAGGCGAGTTTGAGGGTTGTCGTACCTGCCGACCTAAAATTATTCCTTTCATTTCGGCCCAACACTGGTTTGTGTCAAAACCAGTTGACTTGGGAAACTCTGGCGGCGGAGAGTCGTCAAAGTCGTCATCTGTTGAACGCACCTCACTGTCCGAAGGGGTCAGCGCCTCGCGTCTCAACCGTTTGAAATTATGGTTTGGCCCTTCAAAGGTTTTCTTTGGTTCGAGGAAGGACCGCGTTTCTTCGGGAAGGAGATCATTAGTGCTGCTAGCGCGGTTAGCTTCACTTTTGGCACTCTTGGAAATTTTCCCCAAAGCCCTGGTTGCCGAATCGAGGGACAGAGAGCGCCGCAGACCTTTGGAAGAGCGTTGGATGAGTTCCATCAGTACGGGTGGCGAGTTTTTCTGGTTGGGACCAACAAAGACAAAGGTTATGCTATCGTCTGAATTGAAACTTGCGTCTCGGCGAACGACGCAAGGACCTCTAGCTGGGGTCGTCACACTGATATTAAGGAATTTACGCTGGTTGGGATCTGCCCAAGGAACAGACGCAGCTTCATTTGCCACTGGCTGGTGGGATGCTTCTTTTTTTGTCTGAAACACAAAGTTTACATTTTTTTAAATTAAAAATTATAAAGATTTTCAAAATTAAATTCACATAAAAATCATAAAAAAGCAAAAGATTGTAAGAAAATGATATCAATATTATTTCTAAAACTTTTTATTTTTATTTCATGCAACTGGTGGTAGCATAAAAGTCACGGATCGTACTCGACATTACTGGCAATGAGGAGTGGTATTTTGTGTGCGTGCTTAAATGTCATTTGGCGCGCATAGTGAGACTGTAACTTATTGTTAGCAATGCGTGTTCTACTTGCCTCTACTCCTGGGAGCTGAGCCATATTTTGATTCGATTTCAAGCTGTCGGCACTCGGGTCACGCGCGTCCGGTATTTTCTTGATCTCGTATATTTCCTCCTCGTTCAAATATTGATTGCTGGGGAATTTGTAGCTGCGAGTTGTGGCCAAATCTTCTTCTGACCTAATTTCTTGCGGTTCGGTCGTTGCATCAAAATTAATTGGGCCGTTCACTTTGAATTTTGGTGAAGGTGTCGGAGAATTGTTGTTCAAAATTTCTTCTGACGAACTACTCGACGAAATTCTTGGTGATGTGTTCGCGTAGGTAGTTTCGGTTTCAAATTTCAGAGGCGATGAAAATTTTGGACTGTTGTTTACCGACATCTCCTCAAGGCCTTTGGTGAATTCTGGGTAAAAACTATTAGAAATCAGTCTTGCGCTGTCGTTGGGGTAGCACACGGTCGGTTTGTGTTGCTGCACTTGCTGCGTCAGGATGTGGCCTAAAGCAAACTTTGGGCGGATTTTTAATTCACCCTCAAATAAAATTTCTCTCTCGGGCGTTTTTCTATGCACTTGATTGCAGTTGGCGTCGTTGAATGTGATTGAGCACGTAGGCGAATTGGCTGGCAGGAAATTGCTATTGCAGGCGCCGTTGTTGTTTGTAATTTCTATCGTAAAATTTTTATTCCGGTCCATTGCTGGACTTGAGGAAGATTTTCGCGCCTCGAATGTGATGCCCGTTGGTGAGGTGGAGGTGCTCTGATCGCTACTGTGCTCGCTACTTTCCAAAATTGTGTACAGCGACCTTTCAAACTGGTTTGATTGCACTTCTGGGGAGCCGTCTTCTGCCTGAGGACTCTGCATGAAATACAAAATATCGTCACCCGACGAGTCGCTGCCTAAACTGCCACCCTCAGAGCTGAGTGGAGAAGGACAAGAGTTATTGTCATCGCTCGACTGAGGCCGCGAATCGTCCGAACTGTGCACCACCTTGACCACGCCGTCGTCACTGCTGACCTCCAGTTTCACTTCCCACCCATGTTGCGAACCTAAGTTAGTCTGGTACATAATCTTCTGCTTTGGCGAATTGTCCAACACATCATCCAAAGAGTCCGTCTCCATGCTTTTGTGCACGCAGTTTTCCAAACTGTCGTCAGAAAAGAATTCTTCACTCAGTTTTTCGCAGCTTCTGCACTGGTCCAGCAGATCCGGTTGAACGGCGGTCAACACTTCCGGGCTGCCGCAACTGTGCAGAAGACACACCGGCAGCAGGATGTCGGACGCCAAAAGGGCGGTGGGGAATCTGTTGTCTGTTTCGACGGCAGCTTCTTTGGTGTTTTGCTCTTTTTCCGTCTGCGTCTCTACCTCGACCTTGCCCTTGGCCCTTCTGTGGGCGTCCAGCAGTCTTTTGCTCAACTCCCTCAACCGGTTGGCAGCTTTGGAGCACGTTTCTCCGTCTTCCGAAGACGCGGCTGCAGCGGCGGCCAATGCGCGCTCTCTGATTTTTTTGATCGGGTATAGTCTTTTGGTCACGTCGGCCACTATGTCCTGTTTGGTTCTCTTTTTCGATTTCTCCACCGTCAAGTCCGGAGAGCTGGCTGACCTGACGCGCACTGGAATGCCACTTCTCACGCCCGGTTTGTTTTTGTAAATATTAGAGGCGCCGATCAATGTGCCCTTTCTGCTATCCAAACTGCGGTTGGACTCAAGACTGCTGCTGCTGGAGCCAAGCGAATTTTCAGGGGAGAGCACCGAGTCGGCCTGAATCGAGTCTTGCGAGGAGTAGTCGCGGTGCTGGCTGCGGCTGATTTTCCTTGTCGGAGTGCGGTAGATCAGGTCGCAAGACGACGAAAGCCGAAGATTCGATTGGGCCGCGTGATCGAGCAGCATGACGGGCAGAAACGTGCATGGCACTTCTTTCACTTCTACAGCCTCTTCTAGCGGAGGCGCGGCGGTTGCCTCGCCAACGCTTGAGCTGCTCTGGCCCATGCTGGAACACAATGGCATTTTTATTGTGAGGTTTCAAGATTACAATTTTTGCATAATAAATCCACAGGCAAATTTTAGCTTTATTTTTTCCGTCCGGCAGAATTATTATTATTAATGAAAAGCCTTTTTGATATCGATCGGTGATTGGGTTTTCACTCAATTTGCATTTTTGAGGTTTCTCTACCTTGAATAATGCCAATTGACCCTTAACTGACATTAAGTCTGTTGAAGCGGAGCATTTATTTTACTTAAGAATTTTTTCAAACTCATTTATTTTGTACTTATTTGCCTTCAAAATTTGCTTTTTTTTCCTTGCATACAATAAGTTAAGGGAAATATAATTTTCAAACTAAGAATTACATTTTTTTCGTCAGATGAAAAATGCAGCAGGGCAGCATATATAACGCGAATTTTCAGTTTGCAAAACTGCTCCTACAGCTCTAACGTTTGAATCGTTCGCGTTGGGAAGCGCTGATTTAGAACGTGACGTCATAATAGTAAGAAAAAATATTAAACAACCTCTAGGCCACACTATTTTCCATCCACATAGAAAATCAATTGTTTCGCAATGAATTGTTTAGAAGAAAAATATACTCACAAGAATTTCAATGTTGTCGAGTATGATTGAGGGCAAGGGTGCTGAAACAGAACAAGTGCGGAGAAGAGACTGAGTTATTAGCACATGTACGTAAAAGTGTGGCTCGCGCCGACGCATGGCATTAGCGGAGAGCGGGCCGAGGCTCGAAATAGAATGGCACAAGACGCCGAGAGGAATTAAAACTACCTGTAGGCTAGAGATGTGTCTGTGGTAACGAGCGATCCATCGTTTGGCGGTCGGCCCAACGCAATGATCCGCACACGGAGATATTATGTGTTTGGAATGCACCGTTCCATTCTGCAAAATTAAACAAATAAGTATTTTCAAAAACGATCAATTTTCTTTGGTGAAAATTATTGGATTATAAATGATTAATTTTAGGTATATTCTTTCAATTAATTTTGGGAAATAGATATATTGATTTCAAGTGGAACAAATTTTCATAATATATATTTGAGTTATTTTATTTGCATTTTAGCTTAATTTGGAAATTATTTTGCCCATTCCTTACCATTTGAATTTTGGCCAAGGCATCTCTGAGCTTGGCCACCTCTTCGCGTAGCTCATGGATTGTCTTGTTGGTTTCATCGTTGTTAATCGCGTTCATCTTTGGTTTGTTGATGATGTGCTTTGCTCTCTGCGCGTATCGTAGTGTATTCACTGTTTCACTGTAACTCCCACTTGATGGAGAAACAGTCGCGATCATGAACGTGTTTGCATTTCCGCCGAGCGAATCCCTCAACAGCCAGGTGAGAACCGAGTCCCTGTACGGAATGTAAATGTGGTTGCGGCGTTTGATGTTGCGGGATCTCTCAGCTGCAATAAAAACAAACAATCAATCGATAAAAATTTTTGTGAAATTTGCAGAAAGAATTTTTCGTAGAGAAGATGCGATTTCTCATAAAATTAGTGTTTAAACTCTCAATGGAAGGTGTGAAACAGCTTGAATGGGTTGCTTGGCTGTTCGTAATTTAATTAATCGCCATAGTAACTCTTTAACTTGCTGAAAACGAGCAAATTAGAAGCCGCCTAGCCGCACACAAGAGTCAAATTTCTCACGCTAACCAAAAGCACGATAGATACTGTCCCGCAAAGGCAGCAGATGCAGAAAGTGTGTTCGTGTTCACACAGTGCTGGCCACTGCCAGGCGAAACGCGGTGCAACAAACACAACTCAGTATAGTAGTATCTCGAGTCTATCTTGTGCAACTTTTCACCATTCGCACGTGCAGCTTTACTGATAATGTTGGCCAAGGCAATAAATAAAAGCAGCATTGAACCCTCTCGACCGCATAAATATTTATGTACAAAAGCAAAGTACAATTGTATTCGCGCCTGCTGAGGAGGAAGTTATGCAATCCGCCGGACATAAGAGCCTTGCAGGTTGCTGCCTACTTTAAAAAAGAGGCGATGTGCATTTTTAGTTTTTTTTAATTAGACTTAATTTCTTATAAACTGGTGAAATTGTTCAAACGAAAAACGGAAAGTGTATTCGTGTTTGGAAAGGAATCGATGAAACTCCAGTATAAGAAAAATTATTGCAAAATAAGATTAAATAAGCATTTCTTAGTTAAATTGAATCCATGCTTCAAAGTGATCAAGGAAAAGTTCAGTTTTTCATTTTTTTTTCAACTTCAAGCTGTTAAAAAATAGGGAAAATATATTTTTATCTTATTTAGAAGGTTTAAAGCATTTATGTATAGCTTTATCATAATTTTGTCAAAAGTCTGTTGTAATAAAGAAATATTTCAAGAGAAATTTATCAGGGATTTTCGAAACTGAGCAGCGTTAAAAATAAATTTGCAATTATTTTAGCTTTGTGAAATTTAAAATTTCAAAAGCTCACCTAACGCGGATATGACGTTTCCTAAAGTGACCAGTGACTTGTTGATATTCGCTCCCTCTTCCTTGCGCTGCCTGCTGCCCCCAGAGGCGGCCCTCTCGCTGCCGGCTAAGTCCACGAGGTGCGCCTTACTGGTAGCCTGGCGCCTTGAGAGCGAGAGAGTGAACACCGCGTGGCTCCTGCTCGAGCGCGAATGGTCGCCCAGCCGGGCCGTGCACCGGCGGGAGTTGCCTTCGCTCAGAAGGCTGATCAAACCGGTCTCATCGCTTGTTGGAATTTCGCGCAGTCCTGGTGGGATTAATTTTTATAAATTATTGAACACAGGTTAAATACGAATAAAGTACCTTCGACATAAGTTCCTTTCAACGGGTGCTCCCTAATCCTTAGGTGGGCCGAAGGTTTGCTCTGAAATAAGTCTCTGACTCTCTCATTGTGTATCTCTAAAAAGCTGAAAGCAAAAAAGTCAAAATGAAGTTGTTGCGCCACTTTTTTGAGAGCACTAAAATTCTAACAAATTATTTTTCATTCGAATCTGCTCCACTTTTGAGTAAACATGCACCCACGTCTATCGTAAAAAGGCTTTGCATGTCGTGTGCTTCTCTTTTATACTGCCGCAAAATAAAATCGTCTGTTTACGTGAACGTAGACAAGTGCTGCTGGAAATGTAATGGAATAAAAACTGAAATCAGTTTGACGCTCTGAACAATCTGTCTATAAATTTGTGCTTCTTGTATTTATTCCTGAGTGTAAGTCAATCAAATTAAGTAATCCTATCCTAATCCTGAAACTAAAATTAACATATGTTTATTTATAACAAAATAAGTTGATTTAGTAGTTTATTTTGAGAATAAGGGGGAACTCTGGATTCCTAAAAAGAAGAAGACAGCACGCGGTCGGTCTATTTTTTCAAGTGACTTTTCAATTTGAGGGAATTCTTGCCCAGATTATTTATTTTTACTTCAACTCTTCTCCTTAAAAATATACATAACCCCGCTAACTCACAAAACGCTGAATTACTTGATTGAAAACTTCTCAAAATTCACTCGCCTCCTCTAGAGGGAAATTCATTTACCATATGACTGAAGACTGAAGCACCAGAGAAATTATTTTTCAGTAAATTGCCCGCAAATTTAACTTTGCTTGTTTGTTGTTCCAATTTAGTAGCTGATGGCCGTGCAAAATTGCGCAGGCACAAATTCTCATGCATTATTCCCATAATTCCAAACGTTCACTCTGTGGCTCGTTTATTTTGGCCAAATGCAAATAAGAAAAGTTTTCAGCTGGAAATTTCGGCTCCCTCACCGCATATATAATTTTCAAACTAGCACACATTTGGAAATGTATTCAGAATAAAAAAATATATATATGCGTTACTTTGATGTGAGAGAGTTCGGAATTTGTCTATACTAGAAAGAAACACACACACCAGGTTGGTAGTATAAACAAACAAATACGTATATACTTATCAATGGCATGCAATCGTTTGTAAACGCAACTCTCCTGCTTATATTCGGCCAGTTCTTTTAAATTCGAGACAAGAAGCCGTTACGAAAATGCAGAGACAAATAGCACCCCTCTGTATTTGTTTCTCACCACCTTCAAAATTTCCTATAGACGCTCGCATGTTTATGGTGGCAATCGATTTATTTTTTCCCTGTTTTCTGCGCATTGCTAAAAATTGGTGTACGTGTTCACAACAAGTATGTGTGGAATTTTTCGCCGCTTGTCAAGGCGATTTTTGATAGCATAATTCTATAAAATGCTGCATAAAACTTGGCTAGCTCTTTTTTTGATTAACCATCTTTCTGTTCTAAATATCATTATTATTATTTTTTTTTTTAATTTGAATTTAAAATAATTAAAAAAAATTTTAATTGTGTTGCTGCAAGAGTGGTTTATAATTTATTAAAAATAACAACTTACCGTGAACAAAGAAAGATAAATAATAATTTCTGCCCTTATAGTCACAAAACGCAATGAGGAAACCCCGATTTTAATTTCAACCCCCCCCCCCCCCCCCAAGAGTGAATTTATCAGTTGCAAACTGCGATTATGTTGATCTATCATAGCAAAAGCAGCATTTTCATTTTTATTTTATGCTTAGAGAAGAAAATGTAAAAACTACAGAGGAAGAAAAAATATTTTAATTTTGATGATAAAAGTTTGCGTAAAAATTAAAATGATCATTCCTGCGTGCAAATTCCAAAAATAAACCGAATTTCAAGAGATAAAGACTTAAAAGATTATTTTAAAGCTACATCTAGCAGAGCGTAAAGTGGTCTGCTGTGTCGAAGAAGTGCATGATTATCGCGCCTGCTAATTGACATGTATGCAAGCCGCTCGGCTCGTGTGCCATGCTAGTTGCCTATCATTGCAAGAGCACGTACTCTCAAGGGGTTCTATAATTACGCTGACATTGAGTGACTTATCAATAATTCATTAGTCTTGTCCTGTTGATTCAATTTGCAACACGGAAATTTACTCTGCATTGATTTAAATCACTCTTTGAACTTTAAATAATGATGTAAAAATTACATATTCAAAAAAATATATTTATACGGCATACCTTGTGTTTTTTACACGGAAGTTTTAATAATTCGGTATTCCAAATCTCTTTTTCCTCCGAAGAATGCGAGACTAAGCAGAAAATAGGAGGATACGCGAGGTGAAAAACTGGAACTAAACTCACGTACTGAGAAAAGCTGCACGGAGCAGCAGCGCAGCGTTTGCTCGGCTGGCCCGACTCGCACTCACTCACGGGGGTGTCAATGCAGATCACGCTATCCGCGCATTGATCCGCGCCGCAAATCAAAACACACTCGCGCGCTCTCGCATAATACACCATACACTCTCACACACCTGACTGTGATTCGGAGCGGATGCTCGTGACTGGAAGACGTTTCGTCCAAACGTGGAAACAGCGCTCGGCAGATGCGAGGTGTCAGTCCTGGACAATCCTAAAAAGACGTCGTTAAAAAATAATAAAAAGAGATGAATTGTTTCTATATAGAGTGCTTGGAGGTGTTTTTTTCTCTTTTGGATGGCTTCTATTTTTATATTATCGTTTCCACTATTTCCGTACCTGGTTGCCCATCATTGTGAAAGTCTTGCCCGTGCCGCTCTGCCCATAGGCCAGGACGCACGCGTTGTATCCATTGAAAATCGAGTTCAAGAACTGCGTGCCGACTGCACTAAAAATCTGGAAATTTATATATAATGTTTGATTAATTTAATTTTGATTTTTATTAAAATATTGGAAAAAATGTATTTTATTGCGTTATTGATTAATTAAAAAAAAACTAGATACATATTTAAATTTACTGTTTAGTGACTTAATTTAGCTTGCGATCCATCTCGACGTGGACCTTATTTCAGCTCAGTGACTTGTGTGCTGCCAATTCTTCACATTTTTTTAGCTCTTTCTTTCTACATTGTGACTTTATTTGTCAAGATTAAAAAAAAATATTATCATCATCCTCTATACAAAATAATAATACAAAACGATGCCCAATATGCCCATAAAATGCTTTATATTTTTTTATTATAATAGGAAATCCGAAGCAAAGTTTTTCCTCTAATCGCGGAGGGTTTATTGACGAGTGTTTGATTTTGTTGTTTATGCATGGATATGAAGACTCTCAAGCACACGTTAAAACATCCCCCATTGCGCGGCCAGTCAGTTTATATGTATATTCGATATGATATTACATGTGCCCTGGAGAGGCTGGCACGCGAGCGCTCTCACTGAAAAACTCCAATCATTCCCCACGACATATTACCAACTAACCCACATCCCTCATGAGCAAAGGTTGAACCACCCCAACTCACTTTGCCCGTCCACGATTGAAAGTGTGTCAGAAAAATTCAAAATCTTGACACACGGCCTTTAAATATTTAACGTTTCAAATTGATTGCCGAGAATTGCACTGTTAAAGAGATAGTTTGAAGAGAAAATTAAAAATTTTACCTTTTCTTGAGAAGCGTCCCAATCAAAACATTCTTGGAATGCGAAAAATCGCATCTTTTTCCTGCTATCAAACTCTGCATTTTCAGGAACCTTTAGAAAAACAGTTTATTTTGAAAAAATAAATAAAAATGAACAAATTTTTTTACCTTGATATTTCTGACAGAAACAGTTTTATTTTCTTGGTTGACTTGCACTATCACAGTTTCGTTGTCATTCTTCTCTCTATAAAAGGTAAGAAGAGAATGCGTTTAACAGGTTCATCTTGGAGAATCTCAAAATTTCGCCTCATTTTGGTAATCAGATCATGCAACTATAATTGAGTCGTGTGCGGACAAGAGAAGTTGTAAAAGGAATGTTTGCTCTAGACTGCTATGAGACTTATATCTTTAAAGCTAGGCGCGTAAGGGCATTCACGACAGATTAATGAGTGTGGAAGTAGCAACAAGAATAGATTTTTCAATGACAAACTGGAAGCGCCAGTCTATATTAACAAAGTACTGAGAGCACAATATGAAAACTTATGATTTTATTTTAAATTTATTTCTGTATTTTTAGAGATTGAATGATTAAAAAAACGTTAATTCATATTATTTCCGGTTTTATTATTTCAAGGGGGAGAAGACATAAAATTTTTTTGGCCCAGACGGGTGAGACAGTTTGGAACCAAGCTCTCGTTTTAGGCGCACGTCGCTGCTGGAAGGAAGAGTCCAAATAATAAAAAACTGCATCTGCCGCCCGAATGATGTATTTTACTATGTGCCATCTAAATTTAGATTGTTCGCCCCCGTGCGTAATCCCAGAGCTCTCCGCGCGGCCGCTTCCTTGACGGTGTGTGCTCTTTCACTTGCACATCCGCCACACCGTTTGTCTTGTAAAATTCTCAGCAGGCACGGAGGCGTCAAGGCAGAAATTTACTTTTAGAAAGAATAATGGACTGAGGGGTGCTAACGATGTATGAAAGTTAAGGTTACAGAGTTTAAAATAAATGATCTGAAACTCGTGATTTTTAAACGCATAAATTTGAATAATAAAAAAAGTATTTGCCACTCTTTTCATAAATTTATGAAATTAATCAAAATGAAAACTTTCTTTTTCCTGCCTACATAGAAATTTTTCAAAGCAATGCTGGAGCAATGGAAATTGATTTACTTATTATGTAAAATAGACTATCATTTCTATTCCTCTAATTGAAAATTTACTATAACATAAAAATATTAGATTTATGTAAATTATGTTTTGCTTTATATAACAAAAATGCCTTCAGTTATATAAGTTTAATTTTTATTACAAGTAAAATTAAAAATATAATAATATTAGATGAATTTTTATTAATAAAAATTCATTTATATCAAGTTAAATTTTCCTCACAAAATAAACTACTTACTTTAGAGATAGGGGTCTAACCCTGACAAGGACCCTCACGTTCGCCATGACTCATCACGAGCGGGATGCGGACTGGCGGCGGCTCGGACGACGTGTGCTCCTGCTCAGCATCCACGAAGACTTTTTCTGTCATTATTTCTCTCGCACACACACGTGCTGCTTTGAGAACGGAGAGAGCAGGGCGACTCTTTTACCCGCGGCAACAGATGCGTGAGCTCTAGCCGTGTCAATTCAACTGGTGCTCTGCTGCCCTTTTCTTCTGATCACCGCAGGCGACAAAGCAATTACATTGATTTTCTTGCACATGATATAACTTCAATTCAATTTGCTACCTCACATTTCCACTTCATTTTATAGTTATAAAAACGATAAAAACCGATAAAAACTGTAGCTGATTTAAACTTTTTCTTATTTTTTTTCATGAGAAAAAAAACAGATTGCTGGTGAGGTTTAATTGCAATAATTATTAGTTCAAAGGTGCCATTCGAAGAGCCTTTTTGGAATTTCTCGAGTTAGCTTCTGCCAAAGCACTCTCAAGAGTTTCAGTTATATGCAGGAGGACGTCTGGCGACACACTCATGCAGACTGACCCTGAGGAAAGCTGCAGCCTAATCACCACTTGACACTCTCCAGCAGCTTGAAACTGTGTTCGACTCATGATCTGTTATCATATTTTTGTTTTAACTTTTAACAATAAATTATACTTTCTTAAACGATTTATAATTTACCAGAGCCTCTAATCTCCACTGCAAGTTGACGTAGTGTGGCGTTCTAAGTTTTAAAGGTCTCAGGTCATGTTTTGAAACTGAGTTTGACTGCAAATGCTGGAATAAAATTTGTCTGTGTTCCTCCGAAAATCCTAATGCCAACAAGGTCACGTTAAGTTCCTCTTCGGACACCTGCATTTTTTTAATACATTGTGAGCTTGAAAAAAACCTAAATTATTGTTTTTAAATTACCTGATATCTAGACGTCTCCACCATGAGATAAATTAAAGCCTCCAATGCATTTTTCACTGTTTCTGGACTAACACCCAGTTTACCTGCACATACATATTTTTTAAATTTAGAATCCGGTTAGTTTAATTTCTTTATTTAATTATTACTTCCTGCATTTGTGTAAGCCTTGGCTGCCGTCCCTTTCTCCAAATGTTTATTTGTGAGCTGACAGAAGTTTTCCAAAACTGAAAAAGTAACATGACATTACGGTCATACAGTTTTGGAGTTAAAAAACAACGCTTGTTTAAATTTTTACCTTCAACTGGTTGGCCTCCGAAAAACTTGAGATGTTGCTCGTGATTATCCCTCAATTTAATCAACATTCTGACAAAAAAATTCCTGCAGAATAAAAGAAATTGCCTCTACTGCTTTTTCGGAATGTCTCATACAGTCTCATATGGACTCAAAAAGTCAAAACAATGACACGCCCCTTAAAACACATGACTTGTTTGTGCAATTGTTGTGTTCTTCTCTTTCATTTGCCCTGCTCTCTGTTCATGATCTTTGAAACTAAATGGAAAAGTGTTGAAATTTGATGACTAGGTAAAATTTCTAGCCTTTTTTAAAAAATTTGTTTAAAACAACGATAAAAATTACATAATAGAATTGTCAACAAAAATGGCTTGCAACGAAGACAGCGTTTGGATCTTTGCTTACGGTTCCTTGATGTGGAAAGTTGACTTTGTTTATTCTGAAAGGATTCCTGGTTACATTCGTGGCTTCAAAAGAAGATTTTGGCAGCTTAGCGAGGACCACAGAGGGATTCCGGGAAAGGTTTACATTAAAAATAATTTGTTGAAAATTATTTATTTTTATTAAATACGTTTTGCAGCCAGGGCGAGTTGTTACATTGATCCCTGGTAATGCTGATGTAAGTCAAAGGGTCCAGCATATTTTGCTTGTACTAAATAATATTTAATTACAAGGATATGGTCTGGGGAGTGGCCTATTGCCTTGGAGGAAGTCCTGCAGAAGTTCAAGATGTTATTCGGAAACTGGACCACAGAGAAAAGGGTGGCTACGACAGGGTGTTTGTTGACTTTCACTACAGGGACGGACAGACTGTGATCAAAGATGTTACCATTTACATTGCCTCTCACGACAATCCACTGTACTCTCCTCACGAAGGAGATGATCTCGAAGTAATATTTTAAAATTCTATAAAAAATAAATTAGCACAAACAAATTATTCCGTAGCTAGCGAGACATATCTTAAATAGCCACGGACCAAGTGGCTCAAATTTGGAATATGTCCTTAAACTAGCCGACGCAATCAGGGACCTCTACCCTGACGAGGAACACCACCTGGACGACCATGTGATGCAATTAGAGGAAAATCTCAAAAGTCTGATGAAACACGGTTGTGATTAATTAATTCTAAAAGTCTCTCAGTATTTAATTGTGTTTATTAACATTCTCGTTTATGTTTTAAGCTTTAATAACATTAAAAATTAAAATAAATTATTGTTTCAATACAACTTACAAAGGAATGGACCGAATGGACTATGCAAAGCAAGTAGATCTTGTGCAGGCGTGGATAATAATGGCAGATTCAGTCCAAAGTGAAAATCCTGGCTGCAATGTCGTCGATCAACCAATCCATTCCCGGCAAGAGATTCTCTCCTGTCAAGGCACTACACCACAAAATTCGCCAGTGATGAGTTTTGATTGTTTCCAGCTGCAGCACCTTCCAAATTTAATCAAACATTAATCAATATCTCAGCAAAGAGGAATACCACATAATTCTACCAAGATTTTTTATTTATAAATAGGTGAAAATAAGTATACTTTTTCGTTCATATTCCCTAACCAATAATAATATTGTCAATGAATAAAAACTTAGAAAATTTTATCAATATTATATTGACCAATTTTCCAAAATTTTCTATTGAATTTCTGGAGACTCAAAATCAGACTTAATGGAGATTTATAAAAATAATTTAGTTATCATAAAATGAGAAAAAAGAATATGACAAAACAAGTTATTAGCTTTCTATGAATGTGTCTAAAAGTAAAATCTTGCAAGGTTAACTTGAGATGACATCATAAAGATATGTGTGTAGAGTAATGGGCGGAACTAAAAGAATATTCCAGACTCAAAAATTATATCTATGCTCACATCTCTGATTTCCTCTGCTGTAAGCGATCCGGGCAAATCTTGTTTGTTAGCAAAGACTAGAAGTGTCGCTCCAGCAAGCATCTGAAATAAACAAAAATATTCATAACTTTTCAATAATAAAGAGGATTTGAACCAACCTCCTCAGAAAGCAAACTGTGCAGCTCTCTGCAGCAGTCCTCGAGCCGCCTTTTGTCCGCACTGTCCACCACCCAAATTAGTCCGTCTGTACTTTCAAAGTAATTTCGCCAAAAGGAACGAAGAGATTTCTGTCCTCCAACGTCCCAGAAATTTAGCTTGTAACTGGAATTTTAAAATTTTACTTTCAATTTTTAAAATTTTGGGAAACTGACCCTCTGTGCTCCAGAGTTTTAATATTAAATCCTAACGTCGGGGAAATCGTGTTCACTTCCTCTCCGTTAAACCTTTTCAAAATTGTCGTTTTCCCAGCATTGTCTAAGCCTCTGTGGGTTAAAGAGTCAAGGAAAGGTTGCAACATACACAATTGATTAAAAAACAAAACGTAGGCGCCTGTGTGGAAATAGCCCTGAGGTCAAAAACCTCAAAAGGATACAGGATGAGCAGTCTCATTTCCTTCTCCTTCTGCTTCATTTTCTTCAAGATCGTCATCAGTCCCATATCGTCTTTAAATCAGTCTACAAATCTTCAAAAAAATTGGCTAAAATGCAAAACCTAAAGGAGTGAATTTTCTCGCGTGTTTACAAATATATTCAATAAAATTAGACGGGCAACTGAAGGCCACGCCCCTTCAGCTGTTCAAGGAGCTTCTACGTTCTTGTTCGTTCTCACAAGCAGGGGAGTGGTTTTTCGTGCTTTTGCCACCCCGGGCAGGAATTTCTGCCCCAAATTTTCGGCCGGACAGCACCTTTGGATTCGGCCCGAAGGACGAGCGAGTTCTGCCTTCAAAAAGCAGTTCTTTCAACGTGAATGTTCAACCAAGGTAGGTGTGCTCACTCCATCTGCAGGGGTGGAACGGGGGTGGGTCTACTGCGAATGCAGTGGGGGTGGTGATGGTTGCCCAATTTGCTTACGATGACAACCCAAAATGTTAAATTCAAGGCTGCTGGCTGCTGTTCACAAATCCACCCATACGTGAAATTAAATTTTTCAATCATATCGGTCGGTGATTTGAGGGGTTATAAATGTTCAACTTTATTGGCATTTAATTTCGTAAGTTTCATTGTTAATACAATACATATACACGCAGAAAAATAAAACAATAATGATCTTAATACCTGTTAATACCAATGAACGCAATAAACACTTTGTTAGGTGAAAGATTTTTATTTAATTTAAAAAAATTATTTATTTTATCATAATAATTATGATATTAATATTGAATTTTTAATGTTTCCTATTAATAGAAAAAAAACATCTAAAAAAAAAATATATCAAGCATATAATATGAAGAAAAAAAATCACTTCAGTTAATGATTCATTATTACATGAATTGTTAATAATGTATATCAATGTGTATAATAATTTAAGATCAATAATTTGTTAATTAATATGATGGGCTATTATTTACTTCAAATGAGAAGGTCGCGACCACAAGTGCGTAATTTAGCAATTCATACTAGTGGTTGTTTTGTACGCCAATTTTGATGAGTAGATGGGAACAAAGAAGATAATTAAGTTGTTTGAAGTTGGATTAGTTTGAGGCAAAAATTCCTTGGCCGTGAATATGGCAGTGCGAGAAGGCCAAGTCTGACGTCGCCCCTTCATAATAGAATCACGTGGGTTCGCCAAAATACATTTTCGCTCGCTCTTGAGGCGGCCGCGGTGCTCAAAATTGGTTTGCGAGGGATCTTCTTGTTTTGCGAATCGACCTCAAACCTGTTTTCTCGCTTTTGAATTTAAGCGAGTGAATTTACTTCAGCTTATTTGCTCAAAGCTGCGGGTCGCGACAAAATACGTACACTGGCAAGAAGTTCGTCGCGTGACTGCTCATGAATTTCCACTAATGCTTGGTAGTTCCGTGAGAATTAGAGATAATTGCCCTCCTCCCAATAGCAAAGATGATCCCATTTATATTGATAAAAGATTCTGAAATGTCCCTAATTGAAACTGAATACAAATTCATAATGAATTAAAAATATAATGTACATAATATTTTCATATCACATCTAAAGACTAATGCGAATAATGGAAAAAAGCAATTAAATTTGATTTCTTTTTAATTCATCCGAATTTTTCACATTAGCCCCCACAAATTGTTTTATAAATTATTATAAACATTTTTGAGTTATTAAACGTGTTTTTGTACACTATGGCGAAAATTGCATGTTGCGTAGCTCCTATAATTTAAGAAGTTATTGTTTTCATTCAGCAGAAACAAATCTGGTCGGCCGAATATTCATTCTCTCGGCAGTCAATAAAAGTTTTCCGCTTTGAAATTAGCAAGAAAAAAATTTAAATGGGTTGTAGGAAAACGAGGACTTTCAGAATGACAAACTTTTGCCGCCCAGAAAGTTTTGGCACCGATGGATGAAAAAAAAACGAAATGGTGCAGCTGCTATGGTCGTTGTTTTCCTCTCTCAGTGGGCGCCTCTCTCTGTTCGCCCATTCGTTCCGAGAAGCGGCTTTGTTGCTAATTTATTGGCATTGTTGTAAATTAGCACACCTGGGTGGAAAAAGTGGCGGAGCTGGTTTGCATAGTAACAAGCGGAGGCTGCCGACCAAAGAGCGGCTTTTCGCATATTTATTTATAAAAGAAGAAGCGCGGTGCAATTTATTATTATCACGATGGGATGCGCGATAATGTATGGCCTCCTCACACACGCAGAAACTCATTTAAGGCGCTGACCTTGCTCAGCGCATATTTTTTCGCCAAACTTTTTGCCTATCCTCTTTTCTTTCACGCTCGCCGATCAGCCGCGGCGCTTCTTGCCGCTGATCAAACAAGACAAATTGACGCCGGCGGTTCCATCCGATTCACGCAGGAAAAGGGAAGCAGCTTTTTTGTTCCGCGTGCTTGGGCACCTCACAATTCTGAGATAACACATGGGAAAATATCCAAGCATCTAAAAAAGCAGAACAAAATCATGCAAACTTTTTTATTGTAAAAATGTTCAGTTTCTATATAAAATTAAATCTATTATTGTTACATTCATAATTTTGTTCTACTCAGATCTGTGCTGTGAAAATTAAAAAAAAATATATTATATTTATTTATATCTTTTCGACCGGTCTCTTTACAGTTTTGAAGCAAAAATTGAATTACGTTTTCCTAATACCACTCATCTCTCAAGAGATCTTATTGTAAGATTAAGTAAAATATAATTTTTATTGAGATAATACGCGAACATTAATTTTTTTTTTTTAATTCAAAGAGATATTATAAAAAAAGCCCTATAAAGAGTTCAATCATGCATTTATCATTTATCTTAATTCACCCCTTGAGTCTTAACAAAATATGAATTTGAAAATTTTCAGCACTTAGAATTATCGCTTTTGATTGTTTTTTAAAATGTAGATCAAACAATGAATTTCCGTAAAATTCGTAAAATTATACCACATTATAATCATGGTGTTTTGACAGTCAAGATTTTGCACTGTAAATGGAAAGTTTAATGAAGGCTATCAAAATATTTTATTGAACGTTCCCAAATTAATTTTCAAATCATGCGGTCTAGTAATCTAGTTGTAAGCATTCTTTAAAAATTTTGGAATAACATTAAATTTAACGAATAATCTATTTTATATTTTTTTCATACTTTCTGTACTTGTATCTTTGATCCAGGCTATATTATTTAGTTTTAAGTTTGCAGCAGTGCCTTAAATTTTGCGGAGGTTTATAATTAAGGGGAAAAAATCTAAAAAAAGTGCATAAGGACTTGTGAGGCCAAAATTAACTTCAGGCAAATAGCGAATGAAGTGTTAGTTGCGATGGAATTGTTAAGCTTAAGATTTTAGCTCGAAGAAAAACAATCTAATTCTGAAGCTCCACGTGTTTCTCGTGACCGCAGGACCGCGAGACCAATTTGAATGGGGGGTAGTTGTTGGCTGAGGTAATTTCGGCGCTGCTTAGTTAGCGAGATCGATGGTGGGGTGTGACGTCACGAGGCGGGGTGTGGAAAAAAATAAAGAAGAAGAAGACGCCGGGCTAAAAAAAGCAGGTCGTGAGTGGTTACTTGGCTGGTTAGGCAACTCGTCACTTTGGACCGAATTCATAAGGCGAATTTTCGAAGGGTGCAGCCAGGCCTTTTCTTTCGTGTTTATTTTCGCCCCGGATCTCTATTTGGATAGGTGTGCGCGGCTCCAGCGAAAGCCGCAGTAACTCCCGGGGGAAATTGTCTAATAGATATAGTAGCGAGCGAGCCAGACAAACACCCCGCCCCGCCCTGTCTAGAAATGCACAGCAGCGGCACCCTATCCTAATGTACACATAAACCACCCTCGTCTGCATCAGCAGCCGCGGCTAATTCGTCTGCCGCTTCACTTATAGCGTTTTTGCCTAAACTGTCCAAATTGCGTTTAGCTCAAGGGAAACATTAAATTTTATTATTTATTTATTTTGTTGGCATATTTTTTCTTATCTAAAATCAAAATAGAAATTTCCCTTAAAATTTTTGTATTAAACTTTTTAAATTGAATTTTGAGTCAGGATCGTCTGAGTTTTCTCGTCTTAAAATCTGGCATTAAAATCCTTCTTATTATACAGACAGATCCTTATAAAGAGCAGGAGCTCAGTTTAAACTCGCTTTTTATTAAACTTGAATATATACCTGCGGCCGCCGAGAAGGGAATTATTAGCCTACCTGAAGGCAGCGATAAATTATGCACTTTACGACGCTAGGAAAGAATTAGCCTAAGCAAGTGGAATAATGTGTGTTATAAAAGAAGTCCGTCCCGAATGTATTTTAAGTAAGGAGTAGTCAAGTTCAAGGCTAACCTCTCTGCCGGCGCTTTTCCTCACGGGTTTATCGTGGTTAGGTCCAGAGGCGGAGCTGGTCAGGTTCTAGGCAAGACCACTTTTACTTTCCACGACTATACATACACCTGTGTGTGAAGAGATGAGAAAGAAAGAGAGAGAGAGAGAGAATAGCCTCTCATGCAGCCAGCAGATACAAGCCTCTGTGCGGCTGCGAGCTTTTGCTTCTTCCAACTTAATGGAAGCTAAATAATGAATTTTTGCTTTTCCACTCTGTGCTCTTGGGATTAACTCTAAAAAAGCATAGAGCTACGAAATAATTTCCATGAATTTCAATTTAAGTTAATGAAGTCCTGGAATAGATTAAAACGGTTTTATAGAAAGAGATTAAAAAAATCTGATCATTATTATTTCCATCTCTGAGATAAACGATTTTTAAGCAGCTAATAATTTTTCATTTTTAATTATTCAGCACATCTTATTGAAAGGTTCTTATATTAGCTTAATGCCTATGCCACATAATCATTTTTTGATTTTAATTATCTACAGCAGCATTTCTTCAGCTTTTAAAGATAATAATTTTTCTCTTGTTATCAACTCTAACACCATAAGAAGTATATAGATGTGTGTAAGGAGGAGGCTTATCAGGCCTTAAGTTAGACCTCTGATAACTATGAAATGAAAACTTTGCTTGGGTCAGACCTTTCCTCTTACACAATTCTCGCGATGATATAATAATCCTGGTAATGGCACAACTGGCAATTATACTCTACACCGCAGCTCGACTGTTTGCGAATGTGTATGTGCACTGTTTTTGTGTGCTCACGTATACGTATCTGAGCAAAAAAAATTGTTAAAAAAGATGAGGCACAGCGTGC